AAACTGCTGTGCAACCACACTCTCAACAACCTTCGCCACAAAGCGAAGGTTGGAGACTGGGCGATAGTTGGCCAATACATCTGGGTTCAGGGAAGGCTTCTTAAGGAGGGGCCTCACCACCGCCTCTTTAAGGGCCGTGGGAAAGGCACCCTCCCCCAGAGAAGCGTTTATAATTCCCTGAAGCCAGGCTCGTGTACCCACCCTCTATTCTATTAGATGCAAATCTATCCAATTTTCCGAGAAGAATTTCTGCCACAATCAGAATGGTCAAGGAGTTTCTTGACAACCTTGATGTTCTGAAAACATCTCAGGATATTTAGAGCTTCAGTGATATATAAGCACCTTCCTATAGGCCTCAGGCTGAAATCCTTCCCTACCTGGGCAGTTTGAAATTGCTTTTGTGCCTCCATTTTCTCTTCAAGCAGTTTCTGAAGAGATTCTTTTACTTTCTGTTCATAATTCTGCTTTTGATCTTCCATCTCCAGGAGAATCCTTTTTAAGCCCCTCTTTGAATAACTCTAAGAAAAAAGAAAAAGAAAAACAACACAGAGAGAGAGAGAGAGAGAGACATATGAATCAAAATTCCTCTTCTTAAAATATTTGGCTGGCTATGATTTATCTGATTGGTTTATCTGATAAACTTTATCGCCCTGGGACATGTCAATCATGACTAACATGGACAAACACAAAACTTAATGTGGATTTATCCTTTGAAACCCAAGAGATCCATAGCTCATCAAGCTAAGCTTCTTGTACTAGAGATTTTTTTTTGCAAGCAATAATACAGTATTCTAAAGAATGTTATTTCTTAGAAAATGGCAAAGAAAACTGGCAACCTAACATTGTAAAAGACACCAGCATGTTAAAAGTTCTTGATTTAAGATTTTAGGCACAGCCAACAGACCAAAACTTTGAAATATTATGTAGCCTACATTGCATCTATTAAAATGTAAATCAAGTTATGATTTATATACACAATGTATATAACAAAATGGAGGTCACAAATAAAGAGATAAGTTAAGATAGAGACCAGAAATGTATAGTTTGTATATAGATATATTATATGTAATTAATGTACAATATGGACTGAGATGTCAGTCAAAGACGATTTACCATGTTCAGTGTTTTTAATCCTTTTTTTTCTTTGTACTGAATAAAAACTTATTAAAAAAAAATCATAAAAAGTTTTAAAAACCCTCTCTAGGCATCTGCAGAAAATTCTTAGTAATCTTATATTTTCTTAGCAGTGTTACAATTTTATTACATATATGGAGAAGAAGCAACATGTTGATCTCATGTAAAATGTTTCTATACTGCAATTTGATATGAACTCTAGCAAAATAATAGTGACAAATCTTTTAGCAATAACCACATAAATCTGAATGTGAGACACAACCATAAAAAATAATGGCAGTATAGTTCAACAGCAAAGTGCAAAAAAAAAAATCATGATGCTCAGGAAACAAAGAAAAACAAATGTTATCATTCTTCGGGTCTCTGAGGAAGAGTTATAATGAGTGTATTCTTACAAATATGCCAAATATTTGTATGATGTTAATATTATTAATGAGTAGATCTCTGAAGAACAAAGCAGGTCTCCAAACTATAGAAGGTAACACTCTCCATGTACATATTAAAGTTATCAAAAATTGTCAACTTTCCCTTTTTGAGCCAAATATATTACCTGGGTACATATTTGCAATTGATTCTCCAGCACGCTCAGCCTGCATTTGAGTTTGTCTTCATTAAACTGACCCTAATAGAATTTAAAAAATTAAAAATTGTGAATAATTTTGGAAATAAGAATTTTATAACTCTTAGTTACCAAAAGGGATCCTGTTTCTTGCTTTATTCATATTATTTAAAAGTTTCATTTAAAATTAAACATCAGATCCTTCAGAAATCAATGGCTTTCAGGAAAAGAAAAGAAAACATATTCATATCACTTATCCTTAATAAAATGTAATAGCTACTCTAATTACCAAAAAGCCTATGCTTATTATTTATTTTAAAATTCCAGACAGTTGCAAACAGATGTATCATTAGTCAGGATTAACACAAACATACAGTTACACATACAAACATGCCTACCATATATAAAATTACACTCATGTTGTTTTTAACATGTATTCTCTTTCTCAAAAATGATCTTTCTTTTTGTGTAATATAATTGACAACCTACATCTTTATGTACATCTAGCTGCCTTGGGAATGTTTGACAATCCAAAAAGTACCTAATTTTGCAATCCCATGTATACTCACAGCAAAGTCTATGGGACTGCTGAATATGAGAGGCATAGGTTTATTTTCTAAGTATCCAACAAACCATATGCTGTACATAACAGTTGTAATATATGTTTAGTATTTTTACAGAATCACTAGACTTGGTTGTGCAGTCAAGTTAATAGGGCTAGGATGGGAGCAGAAATGCCATGCCATCCCACACATATAAGATAGCCTAGTTACGGTACACACATTTTCAGCAAGAGAGTGGAATGGAAATCAGCTTTCCAATGCTAAAGATAAACATGAGAAAGGACTACATTGTGTATAGTTCATTGAAGAATGAAACTGCAGGAAAGGAATACACCAAGTCCTTCTAATGTATGTAATTTCCTTCCTTCACCAGCTGGAAGGCGGCATTACCAAAAATGATGGGTTGGTTGGTAATTTCTGGATTTCTGGGAAGCAAACTACTCCAATTTATTCTCCATAGTACTTGGCGGCAGGACAAGAAGCAATGGATGGAAATTTGTCAGAGGGAGATTCAACCTTGAAATGACAAATTTCCTGACAGTAAGAGAAATTAATCAATGAAACAGCTTGCCTCCCTGAATTATAAGTGCTCCATCACTAGAGCCTTTCAAGAAAAGATTGGACAACCATTTGTCTGGGATGGTATAAGGACCTTGCCTTGGGCAGAGTGTTGGATTAGAAGATCTCCCTTCCAGCCCTGATTCTATGATTCAATTCTCATTCTTAAACTCCAAAGTCATTGCACTGAAACCAGCCAAATTTTAATGTAATGAGCTCAGGTTGTTTGCTTAATTCATAAGCCTCCATTGGAGGTTGATTTGAAAGATTTGTCATGAAGAAACAAATATTGCCCACTTTGTTAAAGAATTTTGGCAATTTTGCTAGGGAGCTGCATGAAATCCCTAAGCTGCTCAGCCCTGCAACACTTTGTTTTGTACTTGGATAACCTGATCTACATATTGAAATGCAACACTGGTTCTCCTTTGCTTTGTTTTTAAATAGATAGTATAATTTAAAAGCAAAATCTTGCAAAACAAAACGGGATAGTCAATGGATAAGGACAGGACTTTGCAGATATCTGCTGCTTTTTCTTGGGAAAGAAAGATTTAAAGCACTTTAAAGAGGCCTTTATATTTCAGCTAAAATTTGCATCTCTTATTCCATTTATCATTGGCAAATTTGAAAATTTCAGCTCTGCATCAATTTGGAAATTCCAGAAGCAGTTTGTTGCTTTAATGAATAACAAATTGGAAACATGGGCTACACTGGAAACATATACAGAAAACAAATGAAACAGTACACACCTACCTGTTGATAAGCTGAGGTTCAGAGGTTTAATTACCACTTCCTGTCAGTAAAAATGTTAAACTATTTCCCCCCTGCTATTTTGGATGTTAACATCAGTGTTTCAGAGGGGAAGTACAAACCACATTGGTATCAAGAAGTAAATGTCGACACTTCTGTTCTAAGAGAGCTCATAGTGAACTTAGTTTGAAAATTTGACTGAATTGCCATTTCTTTTCTGGATCAAGTATTTTAGGGCACTTCTTTGGCACCAGCTCTACTTAGCTGAAGCACAATTCCATGGAAAGTAGATGTGTGTTCTTCTCTTCCCCCCCCCCAACAGGATCAAACATAATATTATCAAAGATAAATCTGAGCTTGATTATACAATTTTATTTCTCTATGTCTTTGTCTTTACAAATGTGCCACTCAAAGATGTAACTTTCATTCACTATTAATAGATATTTGGAAAGGACATCTTGGCAACAAATACACTTGTCATTATAGAATATTGTTATGGTAAGAAAAGCTGCCTCTGCTCGAAATTCTGTTGTATGAATAAGCTAACTATCAAAAATACAGGATCCCTCTTAGTTTTCTGGTGCATCATTACTTTGAATGATATGTATGTACGATATTGAATAACATACAATTATGGATAGTAGTAATCTCAGTATGACTATTTGGTACCTTCCAAGATTTTTCTGCTGCTTCTAGCAACATGGCTAGAAGCTCTTGTAAAATCACCATTTTCTGCTTCAATATTAGTTCTCGATGTAGCGCCTCCTAAACAGAAGACATCAAAGTCACAACATATTCAAATGATATCCCAGGCATGCTCTGTATTCGTTGTCTTAGTTCTACGATTAATGAGGATTCTCTTACTCTACCATCAAACTTCTTTTTCAAAGGAAGCATGGAGAAATTTGACTATAGCAACTTGACTACTTCACAGAGAATACAGGCCTTTTTATCTAGTCAGTCTGTCTGAGCTGACTCTATAAAGTCCAACTCACATAAGCCTGCTACCAATTTGCATTTGTCAATTATATATCATATCCTTTTAAATCTTAAATTATACTTGTAAAACTCTAAAATCATATGTCTTATATCCTTTTTAGTCTTTCAGTTTCTGCACACTAATGCTGGAAATGCTAATTAATATGTTCTACAGTTTCCACTCTTGTTAATTCAGATTGATGTTCCTGTATGAAAATTTAATCAATACATCTAACTGGTAATTTCTATTGATCACGAGCCATTGTCCATATTTATTTATGCCACTTTAAATATATACTCTGGGCAGCTTTTGCATAAAAAACAAGATTAAAATATCATAGACAAACTAGTAAATAAATATAGGAACTGAGCCAAGAGTCTCTTTGAGCACCTACAAAATGGCACTCTTTAACAAATGGAACCTGGATCATGCCTCTACTGCTGGATCTCATAGGTTGGGTAGATACAACTGGGGAGAAACAGTAACACAACTTTCTATTTCCATTCAAGGAAACAGAAAGATCTTTTGTATAGGTACAAAACTGTACTCTAAAAAGTAAAGTTTATGTCCCTTTGTTCTTAGATAATTATTTAACTGGCTTCTCTGTTATTTAGTGAAAAAAAGTGGGTATTTCTTTTTAAATTAATGTAATACAATTTATAGAACTTGCTATCTGATTTAGTGTCCTTTTAAAATTGAATGGAAGATTTTAAATTGTTTGCTTTGATCATTGGCATTCCTCGGGTATCAAAAGCAAATTGACATCAGTTGGACTTTGTACTTTATACTTAAACCAAAATGGCAGATCTGGAAATGGTAAAATCAGGTGGATCAAACTACATTTTGTGAATATATGTATATTATTATTTTTTCCCCTGCAGGAATGAATCCTGCACTTCAAGTACTGTATAGCATTCTACCATTATTGTTTTCAAATAAATATATTGTTTTCAATTGCAGTCCTATTCTAAGAAAGTAAGACTTTATGTATTAAAAAAACCCAAAAAGTATATGATTTATGAAGGGGTCTTTCCCCCAAACTGTCTAAAGTTAATATTGATTACTCACATTGAGGTAGTTAGAAAGTTGAATAATTTCCTGGAATACAAATAAATATATTTATAATCTCAATTGACTTGGCAAAGAAATGCAACCATACCATTTGTCAGCCTTTGAGTTTTATACTCACAAAACTTCTAGTATACTAGAAGATGGGCGGTTTTACGGCTATTAATAAAAATTCATTATTTAGCTACTGTCAAAACATGTTTATAGTCAGAAAACAAATGGAAACACTGTTATATACAGAGTTGTACAGAAATAACAGTGCTCCTGTAACCCCGTTCTTTTAAAACCACCAAATACAGCAACTCCATGATCAAAACCTGATTACTGGAAAACTTCGTGGAACCTTTACTGAGGGCCATATTCAGACAGGGAGCCAAGATTTGCTTATCTGAAACATCACAACTATAACAACTTGCCTGATTAAGGTCATTACGTGCAGGAAGGTTATGGTTATGCATACATACAGAAATGAGAACAATACCAAATATTAAATACCAAATTCTTCCCTCATTTGCATTTCTTTATTTCTTAAAGAAAGAGGAATCTCATCACCACTTTCTGTTTTCCATAAAAGGAGTCCCTGCGGATTTTACTCGGCTAGTCGCTGTCAACTACAGGGAGTGGTGTTCATCTCCATTTCAAGGCCATTAAGCCACCATTGTCTGAAGATGTTTCCGTGGTCATGTGGCCAGCATGACGACACAGAGCACTGTTACCTTGCAATTGAAGTGTCACCTATTTATGTACTCATTTTCATGTTTTCCATACCTTATCTAAAACTGCTGTTCCACAACTAAAAACAAAAGAGAAAAGAATTATCAAGGAGATATGACGCAGTTGCAGTGTGATACAATTGTCAAAAGGAAGAAGGTAAAAGATTATCTATATAGAATTGCCCGTATAAAAATTTAAGACCTGAACAAAAACTCCCGAAAAAGTCACCAAAACAAAAAGTTTTAAAAAATTCTAGAATAGACAAGGAGTGCTAGGTAGTCTCTGCAGTGGAATTTTCCTCTTGCCGCCATGAGTCTTTTTCTGCCCGCTGAAATGTTACTGCGATGTGGTACCGAAGAACTTTTGTACTATCTATTCATTCATTACTGCACACGTGAAGATTTGCAATAAATCCTTGCATTTGTGCAAACAATAATTTGCAATATGAAATGGGATCTCTGTACTCTTGGTTACCACTCGGATTTTAATGAACAGGAACCTGTGTATTTTTTTTCTCGATACTGGTTGCTGCATGGCCAAGATAACTGAGGCAGCTTGTAAACACAGTGGTGAAAAACTCCAGTAATAACTTCAATGATGATGCATAATTTTGGGAAACAAAACTATTGAAGCCTGCAATGTCTGGAAGTTTTCTTTGTAATCATAGGTCATACAGTGGATTGTTCAAAGACAGAGTGACATGATAACATTTTTATATGCTCAAAAATGCTTTTCCCAGCTGCCTGGGCACAGAAGACTCTGTATCAGTGGGCCTTGTTATCATTGCTGTGTTATACAGCTTCAAGAGAATTTTATATGTGGTTTATGAAGTTATGGAATGCTATTCCTTAATGTAAGAAAGAATGTTCTGGATTGTGATAATTTTGGATGAGTAACCAAGGAATCTTGAATAATATTTCTAAAAATATGATTCAAACTTTGCTTATTCTTTGGACTGAAAAAGTCTGATCATCTTTATAAAAAAATACCTCATATTCAGTGTAAAATGTTTAGTATCCAATTTTAAAAATACTAGTTCCAAAGGAGAAAAAAGCCTGAATAATCTACTTACTCTGTTTGCTGACAGGAGTTTTTCTTTTCAGAACTCAGTTCTTTTGTGGTTTGTGTACCTATATATAAATAAATTCCATTTCAATACTTTTAACAATTGACAGTGAAACATCACTGTTTTTATCTATTCATAAGACAACATATGCTTCTAAAAATATGTTCAAAAATATATAATTACATTTTAAAAACTTTTGCATTTGAGACAGGGGGGCATCTGTGATATTTGCATTAAAATTGTTTCTCATAAAATGTAAGATAACAATTACCTATATTAAAGATATATGAAAGCAAAATATCCATACATTTAGGAAAGTTATGAGCAAAAATATATATGATTTTTTAAAAATTAAAAATCTGAAAAAATAACAAAGTAATCAAAATTAGTCATGGACATCAAAAAAGTGAAGTTTATGCTGATTTATATATTTTTCTGCTGACAACTTTAAGGTTGATTTATAGATTGTCACTTACCTTTACATTTTTTGGGAACATTCACAGCGAGCATGGCTTGAGATGATTTGCTAAGAGGGAATATATTATTGAAGTTATGCTGTATATATTTGGTATGAGGCTGAAAGAGAAAAACAGAATAATATTTGGATTCTTTTCCTTGTGTTGATCTCAGTACCCCAATATCCAATACTCCCCAAATTTGTTGGGATTACTAAAGTATCTCTTTGGGACAGGAGCTCTAAATTGTTCCAATACATTTTTTCCTATTTTTAGAGGAGAGAGGAGCATTGTTTAGTTACTTGGTTGCTAAATAATAAATTATTTTGCAATCAGTAAAGAAAGAAGGAAATCGGTTTTTGAAGCTTTTCTGCTCCCTGACACCAATATTTTAGAAAAACTCTAACCACTTCCTAACCTTAATAAAATAAAATTTCCAAAACTCTCATGAGAACATGAAATCTTGTGAAATTTTGACAACTTCATGCAAGATTTTGTAAATTGCAGACCTAGGAATGTATGACCACAAACAGTTGGAACACACACACACATATTCACACACAAACACACATATATGACTGAAAGGACCACACACACACACACACACACACACACAGAGAGAGAGAGAGAGAGAGAGAGAGAGAGAGAGAGAGAGAGAGAGAGAGAGAGAGAGAGAGAGATTAAAACTATACATTATTTATGACCGATCTTCTAGCCCAGGTCAACAGATGTGAAAATTTAAATTCAACAGACAGACTTCCCAACTAACTATTTCGGGATGGTGTAGCTGTGTTATTCCCATCATTAAATATTACCTGGATATTTGACAAACAGTTCAAATAGTTCTGAGGTGGTATTTGCCCTAGACTGTCAGAACAGTTTACAGGAAATAAAGATTGTCTCTTGCCAGGAGGCAACATCATTTTTGTCCTCCCAAGTTCTTCAATTGTTAAATTCCTTCGTCGGAAGAATTCCTTTTGTCGAGGGCTCTGAGCTGATTCCTTGGCTTCTGTGCTCTGGCATTTGCTTGTGAGACGGCATGTGGTCCTGTTGTTTCTCCTGAGCAGGCTTTCGTGCTTCTTGCACCGGCGCTCATATTTTTCTTCATAACTCTCATGCTGGGGCCCTTGCTGGCCAGGAGACTTGGAAAATCCAGTGATCATCCTACTTTCCAAATATAGTGGAGACTCACCTTCCTAGAAAAATCAAAAGAAAGCAGTCAGGACCATCTAGGGCTAGGCTGTACAAAACTATGCAAATTATTTTGTATATTTCTTTGAGATATGTGCTACTATTGTGAGATATCAAAGCCCAATTTAAAGTATTGCTGTTAAAGTCCTGAGCCTCAACAGTTGAGGAGCCAAATATTTGAAAACACTTCCCTCTCTCTAAAAAAACTGCCCACAAACTAAAATGTTCAGGGAATCTTTCTTTCAGGCTTCCTTTTCCAGGACAACCCGAGCACAAGGCCTTTTCTCTTGTGAAACTCCATCTTTAGAATGTTCATGGATTTTGGATTAGCATCCATTTTGCTATGTTGGCATAAGATTAAAATTTGTTTGCCCAAGTGTTTCAAAACACAGATTTGTTTGTTTCTGCTTTTTATAATATGGATCTGTTTATATTATTATATCACATTAATATCATAGTTTGATTCCTGCATTTTTGTTCATTTATTTACCACTCTGATATTTTAGAATATAACATGGCTTGAAAAACTTCTAATAAATAGATAATATAATATAGCCAACTTCAAAGCTATTGGTGTAACATTATGTTATGAACTCCTAGAAGACAAAGTATTCCAAATAGCAGTTGTACAGAAGCTTTACTCCATCAATTATCAGGGCCAGTTTAGAAACTACAGATTTTACCATTTTCCTATTCAGACTTTTGTTACAGTGGATATTGGATATTTCGATTGCCTTCAACTTAACTTTCTGATTTCTTTTCTTTCTTTCTTTTTGGGGGGGGGGGAGAGGGAAGGTGTTTAGCCATGCTTGTTAAATTGTTTCTGCATTTAAAATTTACATTTAAAAAAGAGCAGAGCATGCAATTCCATCAACTTTTGAATAATTTTGTTTTCTTTAAATCCTTTTCACATTTTGCTTACCCTTTAGTGCTAGTCAGCAGACATTGCATACTTCTGGCTGAGATCAGAAAATGAACAAACAAGTGATTTTTGTTATCTCTTCAAAAATCAGTTTAGTGAGTAGTAATTTCTGATGACAAAATTTTCATCAACAAATGCCACAATGAATAGCTAAAACACAGTTTTTAACTGACATCCCTTCACACTTACTATAGATTTATTTTTGGTATCCTCCACTTTTTAAAGTCTACTTGATTAAACATAGTATTCCAAAGTGTTCTACATTTATATATACTTATGCTTTGAAGAAGGCATGCAAATCTGAACTCTAAAAACTGTCACTAATCTAAAAGCACATTTGGTTTTTTTAACTTATTATTTTCCTCTATGTTTACAGTACAGTCAAGTGTCATGGGTAGATGCAACACAATTAATTCAATTAATACCTTTGTTGTGGTATTACCTCATTGATCTGTGTGTTTAAATGAAAAGTAGGGTTTTTTAATGTTCCTCTTTTTTCATTAAAAACACTGCTTGAAAAACATCCTCTCATCCATACTATTTCTGTTCACTTCCAACCATTTATCTGTAAGTTCTTCTTGGATCAAGCAGGTAATCTTTGTGGTAATTCTAAGAATGGCGCTTGGAAAAACATCATGTGAACAACCTGCATATTCACACAATTTTAGACATCATTTAGCCTTCCTTTGTATTTTAATGAATAAGAATTTAATTTAAAATAGAATTGGCATTTATATAACTTCATGGCACCTTGGATTGGTCCAAATGTGGTAACCAATATTAACTGGGATAATTCACTAGGAATATCTTACTCATTTCATGGGATCTACACTGACTGTAGCTTTACTTCCAAGTCTAATTTGAGGGGCCAATTTGATTAGTATCTTTTACAACTTGGAATTCAGACAGCATAAAAACCACCTGCTCACAAATGAACACACTCAAATGTTAATATCTTCCATTGAAGCCCATTTAAGAATCTTAAAACAATGGCAACCAAGGAAGATGCACATGGATAATAATTAAAATATCAACAATTTAAGCATCTAATTAATTTATTAAAAACCATCAAGTTGGCATTGATTCTTAGCAGCTATATAGATGGATTTTCTCTATGACAATCTGTTCCTAGCATGGTCTTATGGATCTTCCAATGGTGCTCTCATCGCCACTGCAATTGAATCCGTCACCTTGCTGCTGGTCAGCTTTTCTTTCCTTCTCTAGAAAGCTACGTCTTTATATAGTATGTCTGAAGAGCATGTCATTAAGATGCTTACATTTTTCAAATTATTTTTTTAAATGCATGTTTAGAAATACTTATTTTTTTCACTCTCACTTCATCATTGGAATGATTTTTCACGTGATAGATGGATGATAGATAGATAGATAGATAGATAGATAGATAGATAGATAGATAGATGTATATAGAGGTATAGGTAGAGGTAGAGGTAGATAGATGTTGTTTTAGATTTTAAAAATTGTTTAAAATTGGTTTTGAAATGGTCATCATGTATCCTCTTCTTCCTTCCCTTAGTATTTGATTCAGAGTCATCTACAGAATTCAAATATTAGATCCAATGGGTTCTATATGATATGGACAGACTTTGCCTTCCCGGAAACATTTTTTTAAAATGAAACTTCACATCTAGATTTGACAGTGTGCAAGATGATTTTTTTGTCCTGCAGAGGCTTTGCTTATTGGGAATTAAGCAAATCACTACAAAGATGGATGTGGAGGACGAGGGTTGATGATTGAAATATTTATATTATCTAATCATAATTCATTGCATGTGCAAAAATACATAATATATACTTGAAAGCAAAGGATTAAATTTTCCATGTGGGCATTAAACATGTTTTCTCCCTCAAACTGCTTTTAAAAATTGAGCACTCCAAAAGCAGCTGGTGGTTTACAGAAGAGAATCCTCGCTTCACTGAAAAGTAAAATATTCCATGGAACCAGTGAAATAACTGTTGTGTGAATTACATTTGCTGTTTGGCTTTTAAATTACATTTTTTCCTAAAGCATCATATAGTCAGAGGTTTAATGGGTCTGATTTGGCTTACCTTCTGTTTTACTTTCGACTGATTCTGGCTCACTAGCCCCTGAGCCAGCTATTTGTTAAAAAGAAATTTATTTATTTATTTATTTATTTATTGAATTTATATACCGCCCTATCTCCCTTACGGGACTCAGGGCGGTGAACAGGCGATAATAAAAACCACAATAAATATACACAAATTTCTGTCTAAAATCAAATTAAATAACAGGCCTGCTCTAAAAATACCCCATACAAAACCCCCACTAAAACATAATCAAAACTACGCCAGGCCGGCCGCACGGAATAGATGAGCCTTCAGGGCTCGGCGAAAAAGGCGCAGGTCCGCAACTGTACGTAGGTTGGGGGGTAGGTCATTCCAGAGGGCAGGAGCTGCCACAGAGAAGGCTCTCCCCCTGGGGGTCGCCAGCCGGCATTGTCTGGCCGACGGCACCCTAAGGAGGCCCTCTCTGTGGGAGCGGACTGGTCGAAGGGAGGTGTTTGGTAGGATGCAGAACTAAATAATATGAACAATGTTGCCTGCAGTTTGGCTTTCATGTTGAATAGATTACATTAAACATTACAGAAGACCACAGGCATTTAAAAAAATTCTAAATATAGGCTTTAGCAGGTTTCATTTTGCTAATTTCAGGTTTCACTTTACATCAAACCTTCCCTCCTCCCCCTCTTCTTCCTTCTTCTTTTGGATTCATTCATTTGCACAAGGGTCTAGTGTAGGTGTTTGGTATTATAAAATTTGATTTCAGAAAAATATAATCTGATTTGCTTCATTTGCAGTATATGCCCATTAGCATTTTTGCATAGTACTGCAAAAATATGCACAACATTGTATCTGTTAAAAGGCTTAAAAAAGCAGGAGGGTGGGGATGGAACACAATGGATGGCTATTTCAAGCACAGCCTACGTCCAGCTAGGCATTGTCCTGAGGACTCAACATTGTGGGTTCGCAATTGCTGCCTTGATTTCAGACCAAGTGGCTTGGGTTTGGGGCTGCTTCCTAGGCTCTTGCACAAAGTTCATTTCCGCAGATCAATAGCTACAACTCCCTTTGTTGTAATATTTCCAGTTATGTTCTCCCTTTCCCTACCCCTCTTGCTTGATGTTTCTCAACGTGGGGAGGAATCAACGTTGTGACACCATTTCACACTATGAAATGGTACAATCCATTCTACAAATGCAGGACTCTGTTTCCATCTTCTACAGTACTGTATCAATAGAGCAGATAGAGTTGAATTATTGCCACTTTTAATATAAATCCCACTTTGAGTAAGAAGTAAGAACTTCCTGTCAGTCCTGCAGAGCAGGAAACCACTTATTTCTCTGCTTCATTTCGCATCACAGCAGCCACCAAACCGAACAAAGCTATTTACAATTTTGTACATCTGCATCCGGCCTATAGGCTAGAGGCGTTTCACCTCTAACTTAAGAGTAAGCAGTTTATATGTAAGAGATATATGTCCCAAAGGATTTATCAGTTGTGAACACATATCCCCTCCAAGAACTGTAAGACTAAATATAGTCTCCTGTTGTCTTTCCTCACACCAGGTTCCTAATTCTGGTAATTTTATTTTGCAACCCCCTTGCTTTGTTTAAATTATTTTATCTTCTTCTCCTTGTTCCTCCTGTCTTGTTTCCATCAATCTGTCTGTCTGTCTGTCTGTCTGTCTATCTATCTATCTCTATCATCTAATCTTCTTCTGTCCTGACTTGTAAAAATCTTGCCCCTTATTATATATCCCATAATATACATGGAATAAAGGCTGAAACCATGAAATGACCAGTATAAATTCTACTGTTTCCCTCTTGCACCATTCCCTAATTTTGAGTTTGCTACTGCAATGCCATATTAACTATATATGCAGTTGGATATGAATATCTAAAAAAGAAACATATTAGTTCCCACATTTGCAAAGGGATCATGTTGAATGAGATTTCAAAAGAATAGAAGATAGGGATGTGAGCAATAACAAATTCAACCAAACAACAGTGCTGTCAAAGAAACATGCCTCTGTTTTGTGCTAAAACTGCCAGAAAGAGTAAATATTTAGCAGCACCCAAACCCAGAAGCATCTGTTTTCCCCTCATTCTCCTTGTTTGATTAGGACTTGTCATCTTTCACAACTATCTTTAGTCTGATTCATGTTATAACTTGTAGAAAATTTTAGTTACAATTCTTTATTTTACTCATAACCAATATACCGTACCTAATTCCTTGCTCTATTAAACAATATTTTTAGTACAGGAAGAAGCAACTTGTGGCTCCAGGATGCATTATTTTTCTTTCATTATATTTCAGTAATATTTTTGAAAAATATTTTAAATTGATTTATAGATAGCACCTAAAAGCTTTTTTATTTTTAAACCATCTCCAATTTATTGTAGCAGCATACTTTTTCACCTGGACTAAAATTTTTGGTGTTTGGATAAACAGTTAAATAAGCTGTTCATATTCAGCTAAAATGTAATTGCTTAGAACTATTATGGTTGTTTGATATGTATCATCTTATTCCTGTAGCAATTCATTTCCTATTTCATATTAATAAGGAACAATTAGAGGCAGAGTTTATTTAGGATTTCATTTCTTAGTTTCAATAATATATTTTATTTGACTTATTAATCCTCTGTACCCCTGATCTTTAATGATTCAGTGTTTTGTATGTGGGATATACTAATACAGTATATCTACCCAAGAAACTCTTGTTAAACTATGATACTGAATCTGAAGAAATCTGATAGCATTTTTTACGACTAAGAAATTTAAATGCAAAAAAATAAAGAAAAACTTACAGCTTTTAATAAAAAATGCTTAGTTGGAAAAGATGTCACTAGATTTGATATTTTGCCACCATAAACTATTCTATCTCTTTTCTGACCATGCTACTGAATGAGCTACTAAAATATAGACAATCACACTGGAAAATAGAAATCTAAAATATACAGCAGGAAATACTTTTATTAGACCATCCAAAATATGACAAAGGGATATATATTCTGAGTTCTTGAAGACATTTCCTTAGATATGATCCTTGGGTTCTATATTTTGACACAGTCTGTAGGTAGAAACTGAAGATTAAATGAACCACCATAGCTGTTGGCAGATACCATTCTGTAATCTTAGTAGCCATGGAATTGTTGTAGATAGAAAGTATCATGGAATGCTTCTTTCACCAGGCCATGTACCCTAGGCATTTTATTCTTATGAAAAAAAGAAAAATGGTCATCCCTGTTTGATTTTTTTTTTCATTTTGCTGGTTTGAAAATGCAGTTTTGCATTAAATTTTAGGCTAAAATGGAGAAGTGACTGAAGTTTATCTATGGCATTTGTAATAATAAAATTTCGATTTGTCTATTCAAAATTAATCTTCAGAATCTATGGTTGAGGCAAATTTAAATATGAGTTTTTAAGTATTTTATATGTGTGTCTCACATTTGAATGACTTGATACCCCCAGAAGTGAATTAACTGGCACTCTTCTCAGAGCACCCAGTAACAGCTTACCTTGCTCAGATGCCAGCGTCCTTATAGTGCAGCTAATTGAAAGGCCCTTCCTTTAAGAAATTCTGAACAACCAAGAGGAGATATATTACTCCAGTCACTTAACTCACTGACCTAGGCACATTTTTGAGGTTTAATTATCAGATTATGGGGTTCCTTCCTTTCTAGACCAATATATTTTTCTCTAATGAGTGCAAATGTCCTTTATCTTTTCCGCACAGGCATTGTTGCAAAGGAATGCCAGAATGCTGATCTGTTTTAGAACAAATGTGCTTGCTCTATCTTCATTTAGAAATTAAATCCGAGGTCATTATTAAGGAGAAATCCTTACCTTTGCTTCTCAGTGGTAGGCCTGATTGAAGTTCATCAAGATCCAAAACATTAGCTTAGTTATCAACTGTTAACATACTGTAACCGACCAAAAATCACTATTCCTTTTTCAAAGAACTGGAAATGCTCTGAGCTCAGTACTGGTATTGCTCTCTCTCTCTCTCTCTCTCTCTCTCTCTCTCTCTCTCTCTCTCTCTCTCTCTCTGCCTTGCTCTAATACAATAAGGAAGTCTAGCTTTCTATAAGCAGTTTTGTGGTGTAGTAATTTGACTTTTTTTTTTTTAGCAAACGGATCTAATTTCTTTCAGCATTGGGTAAGACATTCACATCTGAGCTGCCAAAATCTAGATAATCCAGGGATGATTTCTTCACTGCCATCTCCTGGCTATCCACATTTTTGCAACTCACATCTCAATTAGGGCAACTCTTTGCTGCAGTTATCAGCCTGGCACCTTGAGTTTGCCCTTGCTTGCAAGAGGCTGTGGCTAGCATCATGAATTACACTAGCCTAAAATCTTTGTGAATGAAAACAACTTAAATTGATAACGTATAGCCGGTCTAATGGAACATGAGTGAAGTATGTCCCAAAGGTGCTTTTTCAGGGAATATGAACAGATTTCCAGAAAACACTGCAGACTACTGGAACAGGGCAGAAAAAATCCTGCAGCCAGAAGGCTCCACACACATTTGCATTACTTAGGTAACCCTGAGGACACAGAAAACCTCCAAATGGTCCCAAGGACTCTTTAAAAGAATGCAAATGATCAGTTGTCTGCAAGGAATATAAATCCTTCCATTTCCCACCATCCGGTCAGAGCTGAAGAAGCTTCTTGCATGAGAAATGAAAAGTCATCAAAGAAAAACAAGAAAGTCCAATTGCCTCCTGGTGAGAATCTCCATAGACATGAGTGAAGTACAGTATATTTGTTTGTTTGGAGAGTATAACTTGCAGTGCTTTTTTTCTAAAAATAAAAAAAGGTGCCGCAACTCACACACCTTGCCTACCCTATAAGGTTCCATCCAAAAAAGGTGCTGGAACTCCGTTCTGGGTGTTCTATGAGAAAAAAAAGCCCTGATAACTTGTATTTCTTTTCCTTCAAACCCCTCCCCCTAGCTTCTTTTATTCTATGTTATTTCTTACAGGAAATGGAAATATAAAAACAGAGGAAAACTTCTATTGGCTCAAGAGCTATATCAACTATATATAACTCAAAGTGGCAAAGATATTTAATACTTCCACCTATCTTCCTCACAGCAACAACCCAGTCAATTTTCATGCCTAATGTGGGACTCGAATTCACATTTATTTTTTAAATAATCATTTAGACTCAGTAGATTGAAAAGTCTGGAATCAATATGCTTGATGGCCTGTTGACCTTTTGTTTTTGACAATAGTTAGAAACAAACAATAGAAAAATGAGGAAATCAAAATGAAAGCAAATATAATGGGCAGTTCAAATAGCTAAATGGAAATGGAAGGAAGTTGTATGATGATGAACCATATGATATGGATATTTTTTCTTATTTACAATTAGGTTCCCTTGAGTAATGAGCTATATAGTATTAATTTCTTAATTCCTTCTTTTGTTTAAGACACAATTAAGTTTCAAAAGTTACATTATACTTCAAGATCAACTCACTGATATAGTTCAAATTTATTATTTGTAAATTTCAGCAGCAGCAGTGGTAAATATTGGATGCACAAAATTCTTTTTAAAAAGAATTGTTAATATAAAACTTTTATGTAAACCTTTAAATGTAAGGGCTTTCAAAAAAATATGTTGAGAATATATTTATACATAAGTTTCAATTCTGAGTCTTGTTATGTCCATTGTATAACATACAACCTAAATACATTTGGAGGAAAATACTTACAGCTATTTTTTAAATTCAAACTGTCATTTTACATAAACCTTATTCAGTTTTTAACAATATTTTCAAATCTGAGCAGAGATGTCTGAAAGATCCAATGCTTTTTTCACAATGACAAAAATAGCACTGGCCATAGCCTCTTCCCTTTTGCACAAGCACACATTGCCTTGGGGCAGTCCTCCTTTTGCAGTTTTAACACACACACACACCTGCCCCCATTTCTCCCACAAAAACTATTTTGTGGAATAGGTTGGGTTGAGAGAGAGTGATTAATTCAAGATTACCCAGTAGGTTTTCCATGGCTGAGATGGACTAGAGCCAGGGTCTTTTTATGTATTCCTTTTACAAATTACTTAGTATAAAATATTTCCTGGGACTTCTGGAGGAAGAAATGGTGGGCTGAAGACAGTTTCACTAAAAAGAGAAGCAATGACCATGGCATGCAATGAAGAGAAGAGCCCGCAGATAGACATTGCGCTCAAACTGTGGCCAGTGTCTTTAAAAGGATACTGACTTTGCATCTTTTTCTAATCAATTTCAGAAATTGCTTGTAAATTGCTTTTCAGTTTTTGGACACCTTTGTATTGACAAGTTTGATAGCACTGGATGAGTTTCTCTTCAGTCCTTATCAAAAGAAAGTTTTAACTACAAGTTTAAGAACTTAAAAAAATGGAGAATAAACAGAAAAACGCTGATTAAACATTTGATTTTAGAAAATTATAAACGGACCAACGGTCCAGGTAAATTTGAAATAACATTTTGGAATGAATTATAAAGAATCTTTTCCATTAGAAAAATGCCTTTTTGTTATATTTTTAAAAAAACAGAATATAAGATTTTAAAAAATGGACACTAGAGGGAACTAAAGATTTGAATTTAATGTGGAGAACACATAAACTAGATGTACAATTTCAGAATGGAGCAAAATATTCTAACTTTGGACATATTGAATGATATTTTTGAAAAAATGGGATCAAAAATTAGCATTAATAGTGTCAACAGAGACATATGCCTCTATGGAGAGACTGTGTCTAAAAGATGTTATGGAAGAGGAGCAAATTTTATCTGACAAGACTGAGTTGAAAGGGGATTTACAAATGTCAGGCTACAAGGATGGCATGAAAAAAGATGGACATACAAAAAAAACTGGATGATGTTTTAATAACTAAAAGGAACATACAAACAATAAATCAAGAGAGCAATCTGGATATTTTTCCTATATTAGATTTGCAAAAGTGGTTTATTAAAGTTTTGCAGAATCTCATAAGAAGAAAGACAAGAAGGCAAAGAAAAAAAATGAAGAAATCAAGTTCTATTACATTATTTGAATGGACTAAAGATTAAGATTATTAGAAGTAAAAAAGAGCAATGTTAAATTGCTTTGATGAAGATTAAAAGACACTTTATATATTTCTTTTCTTTTTCTTTATTTACATTCTTCACCATTTCTCTATTTTTTTTTCTTTTTCTGCACTGTCTACTCTTTTTTGGGTTTTTTTTAGTTTGCATTAATTGTAATTAGAATGAATGTCTTTAATAAAATTACTATAAACATTTTCAACTGATTTTTTGAAACAATTTTAAAACTGAAAAATTTAAAAATGTACTTTTTTTGCCAAATGTTTAATACCAGATGTGTTAACTATCAAGTGCTTCCTATCAGTCCAAGCCAGAGGGTACCTTGCACTTATTTGCTGAACCTCCTCTCTATATAAGAAATCTGCATAAGGAATTGATTCAAAATTATGAAACTCAGCACTGTGTTATAACTTTTTTCACTTTATGCCATGTTTTGTTCTGAATGCAGATTAAGAGAAACAATCAACTGGATGCACTTTAAGAGCATACAAAATATTTATCATTAACCTGAGTTTTTCTAAGATATCCACATTTATTTTCTTTGTCCTGTTCCAGAATATAAATATCCATAATTCAATCATTGATAGCTTTAAATCCCAAGCCACAGAACTGGATTTGGGGTCTATATACAGTATAACAGCATAGTGAATCTTAAGATCAGTTTGGTAATGAAACATCTGCCACAAAATAATCAAGTTCACAGAGCACCAAGCACCCTACAGTTCAACCCAGTTCAATGAATATTCTCTTTTATGGATTATATTAATGTTTTAAATTTAAATTTAAATTTAAATTCTGTGGACTTCAATTCCCACACATCTCAAAGTGGTCAAGTTTGAAAAACTCTAACTTGCATAGCCAGAAAAGAAAAATGCAGAGGCAGCGAATAGACAGATGATTAATCTTGTTTTCGATTGTTCACATTAAAACATAACCGAAGGATATAATCCAAGAGTTCTGGAGCCCAATCTCGCAAAAGTGTAGGGATCTTTGTATATATATATTTATAGTAAATCTCCCGCTGGCGCAGAATGCCCCCTTTAATGATTTCTAGTGCACATTCTTCTTTTGGGGCAGGTGGAAGAGTGAATGTACCAGATACTGCTTTCATGGCATTTTCTAAGAGTAGAGAAATGTTAGTTAGAAAGTATTCACTGCTGAGGAACCAGTTCACTACAAGTTATCTTCCACTGAACTTTTCTTACCTGCCCACATCATTTAGTAAGACATTCTCAAATATATTGTACCTTGAGCAAACAGATAAGAAACTATAATTTTGGTAATCCAAACAAATACATTTTTTCACATTGAAGTTCTTAGTTTCTTCCAAATAATGTTTCATGAATTTTGCAAGTGTGGATTATATCTAAAGTATCCTTCCACTTCCTACTAAACAAGCCCAAGCAACAGCAGTCCTATGAAGCTCTAATGAATTGTGTTATAGTTAGTGCAAATGTTATCTAAGTATTGGACATTCAGAACAGGATTTTTAGAGTGCTAGAAATGATGGAAGCAGAAAAACACATTTTTATTTTCCGTTGGATAATTATCAATTCAAATTTGCATGTGTTTATGAGAGAATAAAAAGTTAATTGTGAATTGGTAATGATTTCTTTATATATATATAGTATGATTAGCCCCATAATTACCATACTTGACAATGCCCAATCTACTGAAGATTCATTGCATAGAAGAGAGGGAATTTTCAGTTCAAATATTCCTTTTATGAAGTTCCCAACCTATTCATGCTATGATTCATAGCAAGTTGTGTGAGCTATGGCCCTCAGCTCTAAGCATTGGTCAAATTTACATGTCATTTATTGTTCAAATCTAGATTTTAATTGTATAATCTTGTATGCTTTGTTAATATGTGTTGTTAGATCCTTTCAGATTATTTTTTATAAAAACCAGACATGGAAGGAAGGAAGAAAGGAAGGGAGGGAGGGAGGGAGAGAGGATATAAATTTCTGTAGCATTTACTAAAACAGATACAGATATCTCAGCTTATGACCACAATTGAGCCCAAAATTTTTATTGCTAAATAAGACAGTTGTAAGTGAATTTGCCTGATTTTATGACCTTTCTTCCCACAGTTGTTCACTGCATTGCAGCTTTTAAGTTAGTAACACAGTTGTTAAGTGAGTCTGGCTTCCCCATTGATCTGCAAAAGGGGATCACATGATCCCAGGATACTGCAACTGTCATAAATGTGAGTCAGTTGCCATTTTTGTCAGTTGAGTTTTGATAACGTGACCATGGGGATGCTGCAACAGTGGTAAGTGTGAAAAATGGTCATAAGTCACTTTTTTCATTGCCATTATAATTTTGAATGGTCACTAAATGAATGGTTGTAAGTCAAGGACTACCTGTACATACATAGCACGATGTAAATCTAAAAACCATTTAAAAGGAACATTTATAAAAGATGCATCTAAGGGAGAAAGGTTTGGGAACGCGTGCATATACACATGTCTGATATGAATTATAAGATATGAAGATATGAATTATAAAAATATAATTTTTGTTACTTTAAAAAAATGTTAGAAGATCCAAATGGATTGAAATAATCTTCACTACTGCAGATATCAATATGGATTTATATTATATATTCTTAAATATTGGATTTATACTGTATATTCTTCAGTTCAACATAAGTGAAAGTCTCAGGTTACAGAAAAAGTAGATTATTATATCCATAAAAAGCAATTATATTTGGCTGATAAAGCTAATTGTTTTTGCTAAAATGATTTTTCATCATTAAAATGAAAGCTTACATGTTCTTTTCCTAATCAGTTGGCAGATCTTATTTATTAGGCCTTCCAAGATACGATCTACTTTTGTAATGTAACTAATCCTTATTTGGGAGCTAAGGAAACATTTAAAAAACAAACCAATATTTAATGACTTCACAATCTATGATGATTTGCCAATTTTGTGCTCTTTGTGATGGCTGGAGAGTACTGGAAGTTCTAGTGTCAACAGGTTTATAGGGGATCAGTTAGTACTTTAAGGCTAATTCATAATGATTATAAATTCTAAAAAATGTTAAGCAAATAATTTGTCTAAGCTTGGCCGGCATCAGCCTGATAAGGAATTCCAGGATCTAAAAAAATCAGATGTGGAAATGAGAATTGTACCTGTGTTGATGAATCCAAGGATGCAGAGCGTGATGGAAACATTGATGTTCTGCATAACAAATTCCTGCCTCAAAGAGTTGAAAAATCCCTCTAGTGCAAACTTTGTTGCAGAATAAGGAACAGTCAATGGGAAGCCAATTTTGCCTAGAAATACCACAATTAGAATGATACATTTAATTTATACTATGCCATGAAGAATAACATTAGAGATATATGGAATACATTTTTTTCCTCCCTGATTCTATTTATGAACTTATCATTTGTTTTATCAACTGCTTCCAATAATTTCAGCCTTGAAGTATCAAAAGAATGAATCTTGGCTGTAGCAGTGGTCCTCCCCCTTATACATCAGCACCATCATGAACTCTGCTGTGGTCTTCAAACCTCATCCACACAATAAATTAAAAGTAGCTCTTGGCTATCCAAATGTTACCCATCTTATTTGTCATTAAAGCAACTCTTCCTGAGGTGTGAGAAGTGGCTATTATTAAAACATTTCAGCACACAGAGAGCATCTTTCTTCTATATAAATATAGGCTCATTGTTTTCGTTTGGTTTTTGTTTTCCTCATAGATTCAACCTTTCAAAAATACATGCTTTTTTAAAAAAAAAATCACTGCATTTGATTGTAAATGCTTCAAGATAAGAATGTATAAAAATATATATGCATTACAATAAACATGTCAACATTTTAAAATAGAACATAACACAAACAAGAATTTTACAGGTTTTTTTTTTTAAAGTACAAGTTTGTAATTTATCTGACATATTTGCAACTCAGAGATCCTGCTAGGCTCTTAGGAGCCAAATTCTTAAGTGTCCTTATTGGCTGGGAGTAAATAATACTGAATTCTGTAAATAACGTGGCATAGTTCTTTTGAGGTATATTTTACTTAGCAATGGTGGCAATTGACACAAACAAGACAATGGAGGCTTTTATGCTTGCTACTATATTTTGTGAAGTTATTTACTACATGTATTTAGAACAGAAATATACACAGCATACACCTAGTGTTTTTACTCAGTGCCAGGTTTCCTCCCAAGTCTCCCTCCCAGAGACAATTCTTTCTAGTTCTCATTTCTTCCACCTTTCACTGTGCTTCCCTTCCCCCATTTCTGGGCTTATGGAGAAGAAATGAAAAGAGAGGGGAAGGCTGGATTTACTCTAGTGTGCTCAGCATGGATTGACTTTCTCCTGGATCTGCTCAATTGAACACCTACTGCTTCTCTGTTTGGGGAAGAACCACTCTCAGGGTCTTCTGCTCAGTCCTTCCCCAGAGATCAGGGCTTCACCAATGACCAACAATCCCCTCTTTCCTGTCTTGCATGAAGATGCCACCTGCAGCCTGTAGCTCCCTCCTTCCTGTCTTTCGTGAAGATGACACCTCTTTTTGAGTCTTCCCTTGCCTTCTTCCAAGGAAGCCACTTATGGGCATTTTTTCTCCCTCTTGGACCATTAACTACCAACTGCACTGGAGGCTAATGTAACTTCAACTTTTCTCCCCATCCATTGTTTTACATTCTTTTTCTCTCCTTCCTTTTCTTTCTTCATTGTTTAATCAGAGTAGCAGCACATTCCCCAGATGGTGTGCCCCCCCGAGCTCTACTCCCCAGCATCTACATACAAGGCTGGATCAATGGAACAGTTGTCTCTGCATCACCCCACAAAAGCCGTGGCTAGCAACCTTGTGACAGCTACCATTCAAACTCAGAACCATGCTTCTTCTCTCCTTTTCTCACTTCATTTGCTGACTCATGCCAGTCATGTTCGGCAACTGCAGTCATGCTAGCTAGGCCACTAAAATTTTGAATGGTCATTTAGCAACTGGCTGTAAGTCAAGGACAATCTGTATTTTTAAACATGTAGATATATTTATTAACACGTATTAACAATACATTCAATTGTTTCTTGTGAATGGAGAAGAATATACAGATATTTTTTTTAAAAAATTGAAGACTGAATAATTTGAGTGAGAATTACTGAAGTAACTGTCAATTTGCATCCAGTAGAAAGAATCTATTTTTAAAATGAAATTTCAATGTAAATTCTATTCAAAATAAACAGAAAATTCATGCTTCTATACTGGAAGACTAAATAAAAAGGTAATGTGTTGCATTTTGCTTCCCAAAACTCACTTTTGATTCTTTATCTTAACCATGTCCCAAACTCATATGTGACACAAGCCTACTTTCCTTGAGAGATAACTTTCTTAGATACATTGAACTGAGATGCAAAAAAAATAATAAAATGCTTTGCCATTTCTGACTTTTTATGTAACTTAACAAGCATTTTTTGCTTTCCATTATAGAGCATAAGTAGTTCTAGCATGAACTTGTAAAAACGTTACTCGTTTTTAAAAGTCCTTAATGATAATCAAGTAACCCTCACTAAACTGGTATTATTCTGATTTGACATACTAGACATACTTTCAAAAAGTGAGGCTTTATCCTTTTATGATAGGAATATATCAAAAGCAGAGGTAAAAGATAATAAGAAAGTCTACAAACTCTGAAGAACACAGGATATTTGAGTATGCATCTGCCAAAACTCAGAATATATTCTGCATATTATAAAAAGTAATATATGCCAGAATCTTTTTTGTGAAAATCTAACCCTTATTATGCTTCAAAGAACAAGCACCTGCAGAAGCTTCAGAAATAATTTCTTTCTGTAATATGAAATATCTCAACTGCAAAAATTAAAATAGTGATTTGATCACCACACAGGATAATTATGCATATTAGAAAGGAAGGTGGGATATGCATAAGCTGTAATCATTTAAGCTTGCAGTCATATGAATATAACAGCCAACATCACAATTGATTCTGATAACAGGAAAATCAATAATATTGGTAATAGCTTTAAGATTCTGAGGTCGCTGTACATTATGAATTAATGCTCACCTGCCAAAGATGAAACAACTACTATGCTTCCTCCGCTGTTTATAAGCATGGGAAGAGCTGAAACTGTCATTGTTGCATAGCTTAGGAAATTGATGTTAAAAAGCTTTTGCACATGCTCAATGTCCCTATTGAAATAATTGAAGTAAGACCTGCCAATATGATTCAGAATCAGCATATCTAGACTTCCTGTAAGGGAAAGATAAATTATCTGGTTATACTAGGTTGATAGATGAAGGCACATATATCATTGTGATCAAATATTTTAGCTGCAGTATTGGATAACTACATACTTTGAGCTGGCCTTGATTTTATGTTGCTTTAGAAGATTTCAGTACAAAGTCTCAGTTAATTTCTAATTCTTTTCTGCAATTATATTACTTATTTGGTAATCCTAAACTCCTTGTGATAATTATTTACAAAGCAGTTCTTGAGTATATGCTATACAAAACACAAAGTGAATTTTCCTTATAATAATATATGAACCACACAAATAGTTGAGAGGTCCTATTAGAATGGAAATAAACTAATAAATGAATGGTTCATTTGCAAATTGATTACCTCATTAGAGCAAATCTTTTTAACCATCTACTAATGACACTTGAAGGTCACCTGAAGGTCACTAGGGAAGATAAAATATTCAGGTAGTAGAGAAGAAAGCAAAACATTTAACTTCTAAGAAGCTGTGAGGGATTAGAACTGAGAACAAATTGGGAGGATTGTTTTCTCAGATTTAGTTTGACCAATGACTTCTCAATATCTATGTCACAGTTTCCTTGTGACATAGTAGGAATCCCAGTATACCATTATTAGAAAATCATTTAGTTCACACATTTAGTCCATGGGAGCACAGGAAATGGAGATGAGCATTTACTAGCTGGATGCCCTTCCTAATTCCAACACACAGTTCGTAGCAGATATTTTCTTTTTGTGCCCTGTGAGAGAAACATCTGCCACTATTTAGGATTGAACTCTCAACCTTCCAGTTGGTAGATGAGTGTCTTCAGCATTAGGTCACCATGCTGCTCTACCTAATATATATATTAACATACAGAATTCCCAAGACATGTAGTTGCATTGTCCTAAGTGGTTTAAATAGAATTTTACCAGTCTAGTGATGATTTTGGATATTCAGAAATTGAGAAAGAGAAGACAAAGATCATAGCACTTTTGAAAGAGAAAGATGCTGTTCTGCTTCTGAGATAGTGCTGGAAAGAGAATAGGAGTACATGCCCCTCCCCATCCAACAGCCAGGAAGAACTTAAGCCATATGTTTGTTATAAAAGTGCCAAGCTGCAGTCTAAAAACAACAGTGCTGTTATGTAGCTATACAACATGCTGGGCAGTTGTGAAGGAATGTAGCTCTATCCTTGAGAATAAGGAAGAAATGAGCAAGCCATTAAAGGGATTGGGACTTGCTGAAAAGATTGCACAATCTTAAAAAAGAGGAAAGTGTGAAAAAGAAACTCAGAATAACTCTGCTTTGATTTTGTTTGGTATAAGAAGGGATAGAGAAACTAGAACAGGCTTTCAAGAGTCTATTATTCTACTTTAATAAAATAAAGAGCATTCCTGGAATCCTGGCTATGCCAGCTTCTTCACCTGGCCCATCTTAAAGTGCTGTCATCAGTCTTGAAAGCATGTCCAAATTTATTTCACCCTTATGGTCACCATGAACAAGAGTCTATTTTACAACCTGTCAACTCCTATTCCTAGCTAGTACAATGCTTACTTAGCTGGAATATACCAGGCTTTTGGAGTTGGAGGGAGCATTGAAAAGTCAAAGGCAGGGAGGATAGCTCAATCAATAATTATTAACCATGATGGTTGTGTGATGAATCTCTGAGTCACTAAATATAAATTACAGAAGACCACTATCTTCACATTCTAATCCCTAGTTCTGGGCTTCTGGAAGCATCTAGTTAGTTAGAAATAGGATGCTGGACACCATGAAATCATCTCATGTTCTTATAAGGTCAACATACCCCATAATACCTCTGCTTTCTTCACCACAGCCTGAGCAAATTTCATATCTTCCATACTGCCATTAATATACCTGGCAGATGCTGCACCCAACTCTAAGCAATGAGCAACCACCTAAAGCAAATAGAAAAGTAAAATTAGTAGAAATTCCTTCATCTTTTAAACTCTTTGTGCTCACATTTATTAAATCAAATTTCTGTAGAGTGCTGCAAAGAAGCAACCAAATAATCCAGTGTACAAGGATATTTTGACATCACATTTGAAATCTTCTTATTGGATCAACATTATCAGTGGGGAATTTCCACTGGAAAAACCACCTCATTAACAATTTCAGCTTAAAGCATTTTCAGCTTTTTCATGTACAACCCCCATCAAACATTTATTAAAAAGAACATTTTAAATATTGGGTTTGTAGCACTTTCTTTGGTAGTCATGCTGGGCTTATAAATATGAAAAAATATTTGAAACCGTGGAACTTCAGTAACCATATTCTGTAAATAACCAAGAGATTTTTTTTCCTTAAATTCAGGAACCAGAAAAAAATAAACTAGTTATGTGTAATATATTGTTTGCAACATTTGCTGAATTGATGATGTATTGATCTTTGCTGCAAAGAGGTTGGTATCCCAAAATAAACTCTGTTATTGAGTAAATATACTAAAGTCTGATTTGAATTTAGGGACCGATTTCAAAGTCTCACCTGAAAATGTTCCCACTTACCATTGAAACAGGTTTCTTAGAAAGCACAGCAAAATCTGTGCATTGTCCGATAGTCATGGAGAAGGATGGGATAGATTTCATCTGGAAGTCTGCTTGCATTGCTTTAGCTAAAGCCAATAGTCAATAGTGAGTTGAAAAAAATATTTTTTCTATAGATGATCAGATTCTCTCTCTCTTTCTCTTTGTCGCTCTGTGCTACCCCATTGCCGGCAATGGCAAAAAAGCTCCGATACGTTGTGTGACGTCACGTGATGTCGCGAGTTTGACATGTCTGCATTAAGGGATCTCCTCCTATTCTGCCTTTACTATAGCTTTATTAACACTAGTATATCTTTGCCAGAAACTCTTTATTTCTCAGTGCTATTACCCACCCTATTCATTTATGTTTTTAAAACATCAGCCTTCCCTAAGTTCATATACCTTTAGTGGATTGACTGAGAATTATGGAAATTCAAATTCAACAGATTGGATGGAGGAAAAGTATAGTCAATATATATATGGAATGAGAATGTTTGCAAATGGTTGAGAAGTTTTGAATGAATATCTACTACATGTTCCAAAAAATATTCAGGTAATTTCTTTGTGCCAAAATACAGTGCCATACATCTACTCTTGAATCAGCGGAAAAGGATAGCAGCATGAAATTTACTGGCCCCCTTTGCAAATCACTATGCAGCTTCTATGGCCATTGCTCTGATTCACATCATACTGTCAGGCACAAAGATATGCAACAAATGATAAGCAAAGGCTGAATTCTCTGACTTCATTGGTCTCCCTCCTCAACATGTCACTACCTGGAAGACTAATCCACCTATCATGACAACAGTAAGAATACTGTCATAGGAATAGGATAGGTCTGTCTGTTTGAATTATCAGTCATGTCTAGCCACCTTCCTGTGTCTCACTTGCTATGGTATATCTCATTTTTAAAGTTAAATACAAGTTAATAAATAAATCAATAAAGTTAAAAACAAGACAGATTTGACTCATGAAGGAATCTGAATCACAAGCAGTACTTTGGATTATGATGTATCTTCCCATCCTTTCTTTTCTTCATAAGTAACAAATGCCAATTTTCAGATTTTAAGGCAGACATGTCAAACACAAGGCCTGCAGGCCAGGTCCAGCCCAACAAGGGCCCAAATTTGGCCCCTGGAACTGTTCCAAAAATAGCAAGGGACTGACCCTCACTGCCCCAGCCCTGGCCCACCCCAACCCAGCTGGGTGCCCTCCCGGCGCACACACAGGAAATGGCGAGTGCTCAGATGCTGGTGGTGCGCAGGAGCAGCTGCAGCTCATTTGCCTCACCCTGCCCCGCCCCTCCTGGCCTCGAGATCATGTCCGGCCATGCCCCGCTTTACTGGGCCTCTCCTCATCCGGCTCTGCTTTGCCGGGCCTCACCTCACCACGCCCGGCTCCACTTTGCTGGGCCAGGCACCAAAGCGCCGCTGAAAACAGGACAAAGCAGAGTGGGGGAAAATATTTTTCTCTGGTATATTTCCAGTCTGAATTAGACCAAGGCAGGCTCCCTACAGGAGAGCCCTTTTAAGGATTATGTATTAATAAAAAAACAACTAACCTACCTCTGCTCATAAAAGCTAAAGCTGTTGCACATAAAAAACAGAGGAACTCTGATTAACTATCACAGCCACCATTTTGACAGTTTTGCTGTACTGTTGTCTGTGGACGCCCCCACAAACTACTAGCAAAAGTGGCATTTGATCACAAGGCAAGAAGGCATTGAGAAATGGTTCCCCTTTTGCATTTGAGCATCCAGAAGGGACAGGAAAGGAGAAAGGGAAAGAGGAAAGACAAAGAAAAAAGAAGGAAAGGGGGGAAGAAAGAAGAAAGAAAGGAGAATAAAGAGGGAAGGAAAAAGAAGAAAAGGGAAGAAGGAAGGAAGGAAGGAAGGAAGGGCATCCCTCTGACCCACATACTTTGCCCTCCTGCACACATCATGAGCAACCTGGCCAAGGAAAGCAAGAACAGCAACAGCAGCTTTGAGGAGGAGGTAAGTGCAGCAGGGTGCCCCCTTGGGACAGCAGAACTGGGCTGGGCTGGGCTGTGGGGTCCCAGTACCCTGGGAGCTTGAGGACCAGGCTGGGCACTTGCCCTCCACTGCCCAGGCCTCCGGGCAGCCTGTGCTGCTGTTCGGGGGTCCTCCGCATAGCCTGAGAGGAACAGCGAGGCTCCTCTGGTGGACAAGAGTTTGGTGCTCGTCCTGGTCTTGCCTTTCTCCACTGGAGACAATGAATCCCCCCAGCCCTGCCCGGACCACACAGGTGCCCCCAATACAAGCGATGTTGAGCTGGCAACGCCCACCCCAACCACGCCCATGCCAACTACACCCCCTGCCCCCCCTGAGGTCAACCACAACCCTGATGTGGCCCTCAGTGAAATTGAGTTTGACAACTCTATTTTAAGGAATACTCCAACTTATCTTTGTTGATGCTGCAGCTTCTGTCTGTCTCTAGAGGGAAGTGGCAAAAACACATCCTTTGCTAAATATTGTGTGTAGATGTGTATAGTCAATCTATGGTTTCAAACCAAATATGAGTTAACTGTTTTAAAGATAGCCTGGGCTTGTAGTTCTGAACTTAATATTATATTAAGTTTTGAATGAATATCTACTACATGTTCAAAAACTAATTCAGGTGCCTTCATTGTGCCAAAATAAAGTGCCATCCATCTAATCTTGAATTGGTGGAAAAGGATACATTTTTCAGAAGATACATTTTTATCAGGTGCATGGCTGGAAATACAATCACATAGACACATATATTTAAAGATGTGCAAACATACTCACATGCTGCTGATAATAAACTAAAACTGAAACCTGGGATCCACAATTAAAAAATTTAAATCTCTCCCAAATCTTAGTATTTACCATCCTCCCTTCCTGCCTATGATTATGCATATTTATTTATGTATATATTTATGTATGTATGTATGTATGTATGTATGTATGTATGTATGTATTGACTTGACTTGACTTTACCCATTAGACCAGCCCATTGGACCAGGCTGTCACCCCTGCTTTCCAACATCACAGCAAGAGATCAAATTGCATTTCACCACAGACAGAGAAGGAACTGCTCCAGAGATCTTGCCCTGACTCTTCCTACTAGATGAAGCAGTTCTCTTTTTATATCCCTGGGATTTGAAGGTGTAGTATAGTCTGACCCCATTAATCAGCCAAAGAAGGAAAAATGCTATTAACAGTCACCTATGAATGGTGGAAGCTACCTCCTTGCTTCTTTCTGAATTTGAAGAATTAATCTTCATTCTCAGTTTGAGGGAGGCTTCTCTTTGTCTCTCTCTTAACCCTTTCAATGTATGAGAGCTTGTCTAGTGAGTGTAATTATATAGTGGGATAAATGAATATTTAATATTTACTTGCTGGAGCTGGGCTTCTGTCCGTGCAGTAATCAGGAGATGAGAACCCATCCGTGCTAGGTGGTATGCTATCTGCTCGCCAATTCCAGTGCTTGCTCCAGTAACAATCACCCGCTTCCCTTTCAACATTTCTAGACAATAAGATGCAAGAATCACATTTTATAAAGCTGACATTAAATAGCTTCCCATTCCACCAAATAAATGCCAAATGGGTATTAAAAAAAAAATTTAAGAGGATAACCAGCAATTCCAACCCTCAAATCAGTTGTTAGTCATAGCAGTCCAATTCACAAGAAAGCAGCAGAAACAAGTACTAGCATTCCAAGGGAACATAAAATAATACCAAAGTAATTTTTACTCCCCCACTCTCTATCTTTCTCTCTTTCCCACAATGTAATTAGACATTAATTGTAACCCATTTTGTGCATTTCAGGTACGAGAAATTTTAAAACAAAGATAAGTAGATTTTTCTGTTTTTTTGGGAAACTTTTCACAAACAAAAATCCATTTGGAACAGATAGAATATCAAAAGCCTTCATAAAATCAAAAAATAAAAACACCCTCCCATCTTATCTGCTTGCTGAGAAAAAAAAAATCTACTTGCTTGTGGCTTGATGGCTCATAAAAACTTCCAAGCAAAGCCATCCATGACCAATAATGCAAAGCAGGATTCATGTTAGGCTCTGAATCAGTTCGTGTGTTTTTAAAAGCAAGGCTCCCTTCTTTTCTCCCCCATCCTCTTTTAATTCAAAAATACCTTTACTTCAAGTAACTTACCAGGTTTAAACTCTTCTTTTCCTGAATAAAAATAGATGGCCAAGACCATTCCTACCAAAGGAATCAAAATCTTTTGCCACAGATTCATCCCACTGTAGTCAGAAAATAATCATGCATGAGAAACAGAGGGTTTAAAAAAAGAAAAAAGAGCAGGAACAATGTTAATGCTGCAAAAACCTGCTAGTATGGAGACAGCAAGTTTCCTAAAAATCCAGCTTTCAGAAAATTTCAGGGCATTATTCCAATGGTTCCATCACTACAAGACTCCTAATTTTTTTGTCAAGAGTTGATAAACTGACCTATGTGACAGCCTATGGATTCTGGCTGTTGCAGTTCATATTTCCTGTCCTTTGGTTTGAAGTAGAGAATTTTGCATAACACCCTGCAAGAGGTGTGTCTTTACTGAAAAGATTCAAGTTTCAACTCAGAGACAACCCTAAGCTGCCTCCTCCAGGTGGACTCTTTCTTTCTTTCTTTCTTTCTTTCTTTCTTTCTTTCTTTCTTTCTTTCTTTCTTTCTTTCTTTCTTTCTTTCTTTCTTTCTTTCTTTTTCTTTCTTTCTTTCTTTCTTTCTTAAAATCATTTGTTAGTGTTTTCAAGACACAAACTCCACATGAAGCAGGAGGATCTTGTTCAACCAGATTATGTCTGTTGCTTCCAAATGTTTGCAGAGTAATTACAACACAGAAGCTGAGCACAACACATGAAGAATATACAGTAGTTTGATGGAAGGAAATTGAGACATAGGCTGCTTTGGGAATTTAGATCTGTTTCGAAATTCTATACAAACTTGCCAAGTTGTCCTACATACTTAGCAATGAATATCTAAAACTGCTAGGTGCCTAACACATTTAAAATGTTTCATATTCTTTCCGATGTGTTAATTTGTTTCCCTTAACGAATAAGGGCTTTAATTGCTAAACTACTTCTCCTTATGGAAATTTTTAAGACAGAGCTATGTTAATATGCTACGCCATGGTATTCAATTCTGCAGAGTCATAGAGATATCAGTTAGAAACAAGGACATCCACAGTAAAATAGGCATTGGATTTAAAATTGTGGAAGCCTCTCTCTTTTTAATGTGAGTCACATGTACTGTATGCCTGTAAAAAAGACTGGGGCTTTGATTGCCTGGCTAAATCTGCTATTTCAAAGACCATCACTACAGATGTCTCTGAACAAAAATGTCACAAATGAATGCAAACTCAATCTTTGCATCTTTTTCCATTGCCAAGCCAAAGTGCCAACCTATCCTCACTTGAGCTGGCAGAAAATTATATTAACATGATATTTGCTGATCCCATTGTTGGTCCCTATCATGCTTCACCTGACTTCTTCCAAGGAAATGCCTGACAAAGCTTAATGGGTTTTATACCTCTTGAGGCTGTTCCTGGATGTTGTCAGAACTGTTTTAAAACTAGTTCAGTCAAGCACAACTTTAAATTGTTTCTGTCAAGGAAGAGATGCCAAGGTGTTGTGGTTGGATGCAATTGGAGAGATCCCTGAAGTTGAAAGAAATGGCTGTTTTGAATTGTGAGTGACTACTGAAGAAAATAAAATATTCTTTTATTATTTAAAACTTAATCAAGCTACAGAACCTCTTACAAGATGTATTAAGCTTGGCAATTACAGTCATAACTTGTAATGGTCGTAAAGTGGGTCACCATGTGCCCTAAACTGTTTTTCTGACTTTTTTTGCAGTGCTCGTTAAGTGACGACTCTGTCACTGACAGAGTAAGCAATTATTGTTAAGCAACTGCCATGATTGTTAAGCGAACCCATTGTTCACTATTGCCAATTTTTGCCAGAAACTGGAAGTAAATGCCAGTTTCTGGCAAAACTGTAAGTCACAATCATGTAATCACAGGTTGCTACAAACAGCCTTAAATGCGACTGGCTGCTGAGTGTTCGAAATGCAGTCACATGACTATGGGAGTGTGCAACATCAGAACTTCAAAACTGGGTCTAAGTCCCTTTTGTGGGGGTCCATTGTAAGTCAAGGACTACTTGTAGTATCTAAGATCTCTGAATGCAAGGTGTTAATGAAGGCAATACTATTTTACTGTATTTTGTATTTCTGTATTTTGTAGTAAAAACAATGTTGCCAGGATATAAAGGTGCCCTAGTGTAAAGTACATCTTTCCCACAGTCTATTCTTCCTCTGTGGAATTCTGCCTGCCAAAATCAATTTAAAAATACTTAGAAAAGGAGGAGCATACCTTGCTGCATGTGGAGTAAGGAACTGCTGAAAAATTAACACTAAAGAGCTCTTCTCTGCCCAGATTCCCAAAGGCCATGAGCAGAGAGATACAGGCCTGTATTCACTGATAATAATTCCAAAACAAAACTTGTAAACTTGAAATCTCACATTAATTATTAAGTCATTCCTATGTGCAGTACTGCCAATTATGCTTATGTTTAATGGTCTCTAGCTGTTGTCCTTGGATCATTTTTGTATGATTTATGCCAAGTTTAGACAATAAAAACAAGCCAAAAATTAAACAATATTATCAAGCAATGAAAACTCCTAAATGTTTAACCCCAGCTTAACAGCTTGACTAATCTTGTACTGCATTAGTAAGGATATTTGTCACCCCCTTGGAGAAAATCTGTGAGACTGCACAGGGGTGGGGTTGAAGCAACCAGTAGATGAGACCAGAGTCAACACTGGATGGCGTCACCATTCTTTCTCTGATGCCTGCTTTCCCTTTCTGGAAATTTCCCACACAGTTCCTGTCACAAGTTTGAGGTGGTCTCTTTCATAGAGGATTTTGAAATTACGTATCAAATTAACTTTAGGAATAAATGTACCCTAGATTTGCAGATGATCCACCACTGTACAATATTATAAATCAGTGTTTTTGTTCATTTGATTATGTGCTATGAAGTCAGTGCAGAATCTGAGAGCCACATAGATAGAACTTCTCCATGATGACTGTACAGTTTATGCTTATGGAAATCCAGCCATGAAAGGTCACTAGGTGACTTGGAGCCAGTGAATTTCTCTCAGCCCAACTTATCTCAAAGGGTGGTATTATAATAAAATGAATTGAGGGAGCACTAGGAAAGTCACACTGGGGAAAGATAGAACATTTACAAATTAACAAAACAACATTTGGCTCTTTGCAGTACTATGGTTCTTAAGAAATGATTAACCTGGAGTACACCTAGTAAAATTCCACCAATCCCATCTTTACAATTATTTTAGTTGCATGCCATTAAATCTATAGTCATACTCACTATCCAGGGGATAGAGTGCTTATTATATTTCAATTATCTTTGTGAGTATGCTGAAACACAATATACTTTGTAATAATTGAGATTGTTTAAAAAATAAAGTTTTTGCTTATGCTCATCTTCACTGTTTATAATGAACAACCAAATATACTATCTCACATCAACTCCCCAAAGAAGCACAGATTATAGTGCCTCCACCAAACTCAGTTTGATGTTCATGGTCTCACTTCAAAAACTGTACTCCCGCGTGGTACAGATTTCTGCACAAGTCATTAATATGGAGCGTCCTTTGCTAAGCAAGTGGAAGGAATATAATTAAAATAAATTAAAATAAAATGGAAGTTCCTTCAACTCTCTGCTAAGAAAATTGCAATATAACTGTTTACATAAAACTGGCATTCTGTTTATTTTGCAATTTCCTAATTTTGGCCAAATAACATACTTTAAAGAGAAAATATTTATTAAAGGGAACTAGATAGTAAAAAAATCTATCATGACTTATGCATCCTATTATATTATTTTAAGATTGCACTGATCATGACATAAACTTGTCCTGAAAGCATTTTTTCCTATAATGTCCTCATGATATTATTTTCATCTCATCCCCTGTCCATGAGTGACACAGGGTTGATCTGAGGTGTCCTTGGTTGCTTTCTTGCATTCCTTCGTTACCAAGCTAAGTGACATCGTCAGTTCTTTTGACATCTGCAACACAACCAAGCTTACAGAACATCAAGAATCTAACAGTTCGACTCTGAGTTACATGTATTTTCTATTAATGAAACAATTTACTTAACAACAATGGGAGAAGTGAGGTTGTAAATTGGAATGGCATTTCCAGTCCCAATTGTGGTAGTTAAGAATTTCATTTGAACAAATTGTATCCTTCAGTTTTTATATTCCAATAGACCTATTTCCTTCCATAGTCTTTATCTGAGATTCATACTTTGTAGTTTTCATATCCATCTCCTTCTCAGTTCCATTTAAAACCTTCCTGATCATATCTGATGTGCATTAGCAAAACACTTTTTTAAATCAGACCTTGTGAAATGCAATCCACTCCTCCCAGCAAAAACCATGGCTTCAGAAACCAAACTCCCTTTTACACCATTGTATAGAAAGTCATTCACTTATACTCCAAGAACTAAATCTGGCTAGGAAGCAACTAGTAATTCTTATAGTAGAGAGAATTAATATATAAATGTATCAGGGCCACCAAAAGTAAATAAGCAAAACCTCAAGTACCAATAGTTTGAAAAGGTGGGAAAAAAGCCCAAAGTTTAGTATCTGGAATAGAAACCTTTATTAAAGTTTTTGACTTCTTTGTGTTATATAGGGCAAATCATCTCTGTGTATATAGGTTTATTCTTGTATCTCATAAAGAACAGATTCTATCTGAGTTGTGTCTGAGAGTCTTCAGCCAAGTAAGTTTCTTTCTGAATAAGGCAGTAAATGTCTGGAGAACTGAGATTTACTGCCTAGCTCTATTATGGGACGTGTCATACAATGTTCTTTCCATTTCTGGTCCTCTTCTATGGACTGGAAAGATGTATGAAAATACTACAAGGAAGTCATGAGTTTCTTTCCTTCAGTAAATTTTCAGATTAGTGGTAGTAGGTTGTAGCTGTTCTTGGCAGCAGCATCGGGCATTTTATGGATTATCGTGAAAGGGAAATCATCAGTAGATATTATAAATCTTGGAGGTTCTTGACAACCCTGATCCTTATTCCAGGGAGACATCTGCTAAACCAGTGGGGCTGGTTGGGACAGTTTTACTTTAGCTCTTTGTAATAGTGAATCCAAACAGTCATAATTCTTTTGTTTTTTCAGCTGCATCCTCTCTCTTCTTCAAGGATACACTAGACAGGCATAGGTAGTTCTTGAGTTACAAACTACTCATTCAGCAACCATTCCAAGTTTGGACAGCACTGAACAAAGCTGACGTATTATCAGTCTGCAAAGTTGTGGCTGTGCAGCATCCCCACAGTCACAAGATTGCCATTTGGACCTTCCCTATTGGCTTCCCATAAGCAGTGGGAAAACTGGAAGGAAACTTCAAGTTACTTCAGCTTCTACTGCTTTTTCTCCAGAGGAGCCCCTGGGTGGCAGGGTGAATGCAGACCCTTTTGCATTCTCCTGCCCACCCTGCACTGGAGCCACATTATTTCATTATCACTTTCTTTGTTTTCAACTTTCAATC